GAAAATGTCGGCCAGTGATGCCACTGAAGATTCTAGAGCACAAACAACTAAACCACACCAATTTCAACTTCATGTGAAACCAGGAACAAATACGGAATGGAAAAGATGAAGATTTGTATTTATTTTTAAACCCCTAAATGATCATTATAAATTATGGACTTTTTAAAATATAAAATTATCAAATTTACCCGAATGTCCTTTTAAGTATAGATTAAAGTATGTCAATTGCAACTAGATGAAAATGCCTCAATCTACTGTATTCTTTACTGAAAACATGAGAAATGTAGACTTTTGGGCCAGATCCTTAGCTGGTAAAAATCAGCATTGCTCCATTGACTTGAATGGAACTGATTTAAAATACCTGACAATCTGGCCCCAAAATGTTTACTTTATATATCCCAACCTCCAGCTGAATTTTCTTCTCTTTGGAGGAGATTGCCTGAGACTTTAATGCTGAGATGTAGCCTTTAAATATTCCACACCCACACACAAATTGAACCTTCACTGTGAATTTCCCCCCCAAAATTAGTTTTCTTTAGTTTACAGTGGAAAGGATTACAACTGAAAAAAGAGGAATTATTATTAGCTACTTCTCTTGCATATAACAGCATTGCAAATACATTGTCACGCTGCCAGGTCAGAATTGTATCTTCGTTCATTAAAAGCTTGCTTTAGTATAACTTTGCTTATTTTCTACATGTCTGAAGAATTTTCTACATTGGCTGAAGTTAAACACTTATTAGTTAAAAATAAGAAAAAAGTGAATTTTGCTAACATAATGTAAACTTGTATTCTTTTTATTAATAAGCTCATAGCTTTCATGGGATTGTTTCAGCCCTAAAATGAACTTTCTAGGTTCTGAGCAGCACCAATGTTCATTCAAGTCTAATGGAGTGCCCAGCACAGCAGCTTGCAAAATTGCACCTACTTATAACTTTTTCCACAGACAGCACCACTTTGCAAGTGAGAGCTAAACTGTTGCTTTTAAAAAAGAAATAATACTGGCTATTTTTTGCTTTCTTGCTGTAATTATCTATAAAGCTTTTTTTTCAAATCAGTAAATGCAGTAAGCCGGGAGCCAGCAAACTACTTACACATACCTGCAGGAAAGGGAGAAAATTGACTGTACTTTTGAAGTGCTCAGTGTTTACGTGAGATCTTGTATTTTGGGTTCAGATCTTCACAAAGGAAGTAATTTGCCCTGCCAAGCCCTGGGATATAAATAAGCTGTTAAACCTGACTTATTGCCCTTGCCTTGGCATGTGATACACAGACAACATTCAAAAATAATGACAAGTGGTACCTTAGTGCACGCTGGTTTTCAAAATTACTGTCATTGCAACAGAAGTTTAAAGTTTTGAAGACCAAAAATAACCTTGTAGTTCTAATGTAGGAGTTTTCCTGGTGTGCGTATTTGAGGTGCAGTTAAAGATTGGCTAATCACTGATGATTTTACTATTGCAATCTTTACATCCTTATCTAATTGTTCCTTGATTTTATGTGGTTTGTTCTGCTCTAGTAAATTAGGTAGCCCTGATATATGCTCTCTTATGTGGCTATTGGAGTGTGAATGATCCCATGTAGACTGGTAAATCCAACATTTGGAATTGCTTAGGATATTAAAAGTGTGGAGAGACTAAACTGAGGGCATGGTTATCATTTTCCAATACCTTTTGCATATAAGAGAAAAAGAAGATATTGCTATCGTGCTAAATATGTACAAGTGTTTCATGACTCACAACAGATGCGTTCCTCACCTTTGCTCTGGCCCCTGTCAATGGTCCTAAAAACCCAATTCCAACTGAGGGAGGAGTCCAGTGACTCAGGCACCAAAGAAGACAGACTTACACATAGCCCTGCTCAAGAAGCCCATTGCGTTTCTGATCACAGCTGTGACAATGTGATTTGAACCCCCAAAGCTGGTTCTCCAAAATGATGAATGGAGGGTGAGGGGGTATGTTGCTATGTCTTGTCCAACGTGTGGCTTCACTCATCTAATTTCTCCTACCTCCTGCACTGAGGGAAGTGGGCTGCGACTTTGACTTCCAGCCAGGGTCCCTGGGCAGGCCTGAGGGCATAGAGGGGGCAACCCAGCTAAAATCCACACTGACTGATGCTTTTAATAAAGTTGCAGTTTCTGCATGTAACCATACTATGGCAAACAATATGTGTCTCATTATTTCCATGTCCACCTCCATGAGAAAAGTATCAAGCAAGCTGAGCTTTAGAAAGAAAATGTATATATTAATCTTTTGTTTTTCCATGAAAATGGTTTACAAAGCTTTAGAAGAGGCACTAGATCTTAATGAAAACAGCCAGAGAAAATTCATGCTTATCTATAATCATTGTTTGTCTATCCATTAGAGTTGATCTCTGAAGCCACCACATCTACTATAGCAATTTCTTTCCTTCCAGGATATTCCAGTACATTTGCTTTGTATTTAAAAAAGATAGTGTTTTTTTTTAAAAAACGTAATCCTAAAAAGATGTTAAAAAATTCTAACACACAATGCTACATGTAAAGAGCTTACACATCTGGTTGCAGATGGAGATCCCTTAATTTAATTCTCTGGAGGTTCTGTACCAATTAATATATAACTATCTTGTAATATGTACATTTAAAAAGGGATGTGGCTGCATTATATGTGGAACAGCAGACGTGACAACAATAATACTCTATTCTAACATCAATGTCCCAAAAGGAATTCTGAACTTTTTATACTCAGGGAAGAACAAAACAAAAACTTAAGAGACATTTATCAAGGTGTTTAGGTGTGAAAACTTGATCTCCAACATTGCTAAAATATGACACACTTCTTAAAATTCTTAGGGCCATATCCTCAATGAAGTGCCACTAACTTCAAGAGAGCCAGGATTTAACCCATAGAGTTTTACAATCATCATGCATATTTCCATATTAAAAATACAGAGGGACAGATCTCAATCTGTTGGCTTCAACGGGCCTATGTTGATACAGAACAGCAGAGGATCAGGCCAAGGTTTTTATTTCGATAAATCCAGTTTAAAGTTGAAGCTACATCAACACAAGTAGCAATTTTGCTCCTCCCACTTTGCTGTCATTACAAGATGATATTTTAATTTGTAAATCACAGCCCAACAGAGTAATCTTGATTGTGTGGTTTAAAACCACAGATGATCATTTAAAGAAAAAAAACTGAAAAAATGAGTTCTCCTATTCTTTAAATGTTAAATATCCCCAACTCAGTTTTAAATCATCTTGTTTTATTGGCCATTGTCAGGTTTCACAGAAATGTTGTAGCTTAAACAGGCTAAACAGAAAAGAGAAACATTTAGCATGGCTAGATGGGTGCATTCCTTTGCAAAATGTTAAGTGCAGAACATTTCAATGAAGCGAACTTAGGAGTGTATTTTACAAGTGTTTTTTTTTAACTCACCATTATAGATACAGTATGGGAACTAGAAAGGATTTGGAAATATTTGCAATTCTTTTGCTTAGTGCTAGGGCCTTCGGTAGGATAAAATGTTCTCTGGTATACTTGAGAAAAGCAGGCCAGCAAAGAAGAGGTACACCAAACAATGAATAGCAATGGCTGCGCAAACATTCCCAACTCACAGCCAGGATTTTCAAACTTTCCAACTGTGACACAAGTGTCAACCTTTGGTAATAAAGACACCAAAATACCAACAAGATAGAAAAAGAAAAAAGGTATATTTTCCAAACCAAGCGACTGAAGTGTTTATTTTATAAAATCAAGACTTTTTTAGCATAACCCTGTCTAGTGTGTTGGGATGCTATGCGGGAGGTTGAGGTTTTGAAGCAACTTTGGGGATTTTCCTTTATAGGTCAGAGGTAATAGAGCAGATTTTGATGGCAGTAACACTAGTATAAATCCAGAGTAACTCCAGTGAAGAGAGGTAAAAAATGCATGTGAAATCTATAATTGCTCCATTGACTCTGCATTTACATGATTGTAATGAAGATCAGAATGAAGTCCATTGTCTTTGATCTGTGGGGTGAAATGGATGCCAGTTACATGATGGATGTCCCCTGTTCACTGATGGTTTAAAAAAAGAAGTCTGAGCCACATCATTGGCTTTGCCCTCTCCCTTTGCCCTTTACAAATGGGGAACTGAAGCACATGGTGGACCAAGTGACTTGCCCAAAGTCACATCGGAACTGAACCCAGGTCTCTCTAACCCAAGTCCCTAACTATTAGACCATCTGTCCTAGCCTTCTGCCTGCTCTAAGCACAATTTCTAACTTCCTATGGATATCACAGACGTACGAAAATTTGCATTACAGTAATTAAAGTGAGTGCAAGTTTCTATGAGCTACAAATTGAACTGAAGCAGGGACAAAGGGAATTGTGTGTCAGGGATCAGCATACACAATATGTAGCATTTCTGGGGGAAAAAAATGAAGTTTTTCCTTTAAAATAATAGGTGTGAAGTGCTTGCTTGAGACAAGATTGTATCTTTTGCATCTGGGCGATTATGTTTTCTATTTTTGGCATGAAACCATCTCAATGATGTAGTTAAGGACGATTTCCAGCTTTGTGGCAAGACCAAAAAATGGAATGGGTACAATTTATTTGCACAGATAATTTGTGGAGTGCAATGAGGTGAGCAAATAGTCATAAATTTAATCAAAGACTCTTGGCTCTGGCCTGCCTTCTTATACTTACACTGCTTATAACTCCCTTCCCCTACAATTTGCATTGAGATTCCACCCACAATTGAAATCTGCACTCCTCTTCTCTACAGAAAAGAGTAAACTGCTCTGAATAAAAAACCAACTCTTAGCCTCCATTGCTAAAATGTAGCTGATTCCCAACACTAGGATAACTCAAAGTTGACCATGATGAAAGTGTTCAAAGGTCTGTTATGCCCTGATCCTAGACCTCAGATTTATGTGCCTGTGATGGTAATCCCAGTGTTTAGTAATATCTCTTCCCAATAAATTTATATATGAAAGAGAGAAGTTTTAAATTAGTAATAGCAGAAAAAGAAGTCGAAGCTTTAAAAATCATGGTATGGCCCTTTAATCAGTTTATACATGCACATTTAAGCAGAGAATAATACCTGTAATACTTTATTTAAAGCTCTGATGCATTACATTTAAATAAAATAAGAGCTACACACGGATAATTTTTCTAAAGCAAGAAACTCAAAAAAGTGATACTTTAAGGTAACAGATTGGTTAACTCTGTACAAGCTTTTTTAATCTAGGAAATCGATTGACCCAAATTTTTATTATCCTGACAAACTCGAATGGACAAAAAGGAGTTAATTATCTTAAAATTCAGAGAACAGTCCAATTTGGCTGAATGATTTACTCAAGACAACAGAAATAGTCTGATGTGTCATTTCTAACTACTGAAGCTCATACTTGGTTTTATTGGTAGGTGAAAAAAAATATGAACTAGATGGAAGTAGAACTCAGGTTTCTTGGCTATTATCCAAGATTCTTATGTAAATTATATATAGAGAATATGTATTTTAAAAAGAGCACAGCTTTTGTTAAAACTAACTATAAGGACTGGTAAATTCTCAATATCTTTTCCTTAACTCTGCAAATATCATTTGCAAACAGCAAGTAGATCCAGAAGCCAATTTTTCTGTCTATTTCAAACACTAAAATAAAACTTAGGATCATTGGCTTGTCCTAAAAAAGCTGAAAGCATAGGTGAAGAAGGCTGCTTAAAAGATTAATGTTCAAACAGTAGCACTCCTAAATAGAGAGCTTCCAGATCACAGATATGCTTGCATTTGATTTTAAGAGGGAAGGAAAAGCCACGCCACTGTGTATTGTTCCCTTAAAACAAAAGTCTCAGAGTTCACAAGCAACGTTTTCGTCAAGTTTCAGAGCAGGAAAGACCTTCAACAAATCATCTCAGCCATTTACTCACAGGTGTTAGGAACTATTCTGACTATTTTAGGAGAACGGGCTATTAAAAATATCATTCACTTACACATACTAAAATACACTTTATAACAGCTATTATTTTAAAACTACGTGCAAATTCATGTTGCACATTAGAAAGCTAAAGTCTATTTTGTTTGGTTTTTTCCCCCTCTTATCAGAATTAAACCTTGTGATTAGAGCATTGGGCCTGATGCAAATACCACTGAAGTCAACAGGAGTCCATCCAATCCATGTAAAGAAATCTACTTATGCCATTTACCATGATAATTGATAGTGATGAAATGAAGGATATTTACTAGTCTGAAAAAACTTGCTTGAAGCAAACAGAATTTTGTATTATAGTATCATTGTTGGAAGAGAAGACTAGCACTGATTGCTAATGAAGGCTGAGATCCTCCAAGCACACGCACGAGTTACTTACCATATAAGTTGCCCTACTGAACACAATGTTCTGATTCAAAGCCTACTGAAATCAATGGAAAGACTCCCATTGACTTCAAAGACCTTTGGATCAGGCCCTAAGTGTATAAAGTTACCCACAAGTATTTGCAGAATTAGGAATCTTATACTATTCACACGGGAGTTGTAAAAACATGAAAGGGAAACCATTCATTTGACAGAAATAGTTGACATTTAATTGCTGCAAGTTAGAGTCACAAATATTACTTACACTCAACTCTCTAAAATACAAATGGAAACACTAATTAGAAAAACTCCAGCATGCCAATTTTATATAGGCACATTCATTGTTATGTAACATTTCTATATGACCTAAAAAAGTTCATTTCCCAAAAGTTTTTCCATACAATTGTGCTCTTCAAATAAGGCATAAATATCTAGTTTTAAGAAACAGACTTGATTTTCACAAAAATAAACAGCCCTGTGTTTTCAAAATACATTAAATGTGTTTTAAATGATTTCACTGTAAAATAAGAAAAATAATTCTTTTATGACCTGCAGAAACAAAAATCAAGTTTTTAACATTCTATTAAAAACAGAGGGCATAAAAAAAAAGGAAAGTTGCAGTTCTTCCCCAAATGATTTTGATGTTGCTACCAACGTTGCTACAGTATGCAGTGCAAAAGAATATCAGTAATATCACAATGTAATACTGGTCCTTCAAAAATGGACTCTTAAAATTGTTGCTCACTGCTTAAAATTGCCTAGGCCCAATCTATTCACAATAGTCAACAGACAAAGTTTAAGGATGTTATTGCTCACACAACAACAAAAAGAAATGAAGGGACCAAGATTTCATTACAATTTTTCGTGATTCAGCACAAGGCATCTCTGCTTCATCTTACAAAGCATATTATGCTTTAGAACTCTTCATATGCTATTGGAAGACCGGGGCGGGTGAGGGGGAGGATCTACTAATATTTTTTCGCCTGTAAAAACGTTAGAAAGTAAAAACTAGTGTGAATCTGTTGGATTTTTGGTTTAGTTAAAATGCATATGTCAACTCTACTTGAGCTGTGTTACCTTGGTTTGTATTAGCTACCTGTAAAGGCTGACTGAATGAGATTCCTTTCATCGTACAGGCACTGCTGTCTTTGCTACAGTAATAAAGGCACGCTTTGATAGACAGTACAACTTCAGATGACAGGAAGCGACTGGGCAACTGCAAGGCGATGAGAGGTTGAAGGGAAATATCCTCAATTTCTCCAGATGGATTCTGTCCCTGAAGCAGCCACTCATTACCTGGAAAAGAAAAAGCATGATGTCACTGCCTTTTATTCACAAAGTTAAATCTCACAAGGTATCAATTTGTGCATGATTTTAGCTTTAGGACTACATATCATATTTTGTTACATGCAACAGTAGTGGAAACGTCCTTGGATTCTCCCATTCTGATTGAAAATTGAAAAATAATTCACAAATACTTCTTTAGAAGTAATTTTAGGTTACGAAGTTTTACTGTATAAAGCTTGGATTTAAACATATGGGTGCACCTTACGCTGACTGTCCTAGGCATAGGTAAAGCATCTCCAATATGCTTTGTTAGCTGATATTTCAATTTCCCCATTGACAGGAAGCTGTGCACATATATCAGAGACCTAATACTCAGGATAAGATGACTGAATGCTCCAAAAGTACATAAAATGTTAGATTCTTATGAAACATTTTCAAATAAAAATGTTGGCTTTATAATGGTTTACTGGAAGTTAATAATGTTTAGGCTGGCTGAGACCTGAAATTCCTGTGTGTTTAAATATTTAAGAATATATAACAATATAGACATGCAAAATGAGAATATGGCTAATTTACTGCTCCAACCTATGTCTTGCCATAAGTGAGACAGATGAAGTACTCTTTTGGCGTTTTTCATAAAATAACTACAACTTCAAAAAAACCCCTGTTGGATTTATGAGCTTAAAATGACTTGTGTGCTAAACTACTTACATTCTACATTTTTACTAACCCTTAAACTATATGGAATATAAATACAGCTCTGTAACATCTACTAAAAACATATCAATCCCCTTAGTTCAAAAGATTAAAACACTGTCTAATTCAGTGTTGCAGATGAGTAAAGACAATTTAAAGGGCCATAAACTGTCTTTAGATTTGTATCTGCAATCTACTGCAGGAACAAATGTAATCAGGACCTTTGAAAATCTGGCCTCAGAAGTGGAAAAATAAGATTAAAAAATTTCATTCTTAACTTTTTAAAAATTTCCCTTTAGGTGATGCTTAGGAAAAGCAGACTGGTACGCCTTTCAATATACTTTTCTGGCACAAAGGAGTTCACCTAATTATATGCAGACTACATCTTTTTCTGAAGGCATCACTTATTCTCTAGACATCTTGAGATTACCAGTGGTAGTTATGCTATTCTTTAAAACATCTAGGAGAAAAAATGTTCCCGGTTAAGTGCACAAAGATCATGAACTCACTTTTTAAGAATGGCAGGCAATATGGCGTTCATTTTAGTACAGAGAAATGTTTTCTATATACAATATCCTATGGTGGCAGTTTAATTTAGGCCCATAGTACCATAATAGCCCTAGTTTGGGTATGGTAACAGTGGGTGATTTTTACTAAGGGGGATGGTAGAGGCTTAGGGCTTCTAGTAGAACTTTTTACACACCTTTTTTCTACCATTAAAGTACTTGTGTAATTTCTAAATTCAACACTCAAAAGAATCCTAGAGATGGGATATGTTAAGGGTGGGGAATGAAAAAAGAGCAAAGACGCAGCACTAAGAAGGCATAGGTACATTAGCTTCCAAAATTCTAGAAGATATAGGGAGAAGCACGTGTTAGTAAAGGAACGCAGAGAGAGAGAGAGAGAGAGAGAGACAGACAGACAGACAGAAACACATATCTAGGCACAGACTTGGCACTCTCAATTAGGGGGTAATATGACAGTTCTTCCGATTGAAAATGCTGGCTGATATTCACCTGAAGGATGTAACATTAGATAAGGAAGAAGCAACTTCTTAAGATGCTCACACACCAGTTTCCCAGTTGATTGTGGAGATTCTTTTGTTTCAACTGCTACTGCAAAATCAATCAACGGGGAGCATTTGTGCCATTCTTAGATTAGTCCAACATATGGCCTTTGTCTGAACAAAGGTCGGACTCACAATTGGCAAAGAGACAGAAATGTTATCAAGGGATACTTTACATATGTTTTGGAGGATACATTTTTTTAGTTTTCTTTGTAGTGTGCCTGTAATAAAAACATCCACCCATTTTCAGAAGTATATTTAAGTTAATTCCAGGTGAGATGAGCTTCCTAATTTTTCAAACTTTCAGGCTAATGCGTACATAAATTTTCCTTTGAACTTTAGCAATATTTTTCAGATATGTTAGAAATTACGGTGAGATGGAAAATGTACCGTATTCAGTAGAAAAAGGCATAAATGTAGGCAACTACTAGTATTTGAGCCAGGCCTTAGCATGAACAACATTATTGCGCTACACATCATGAATGTACAGAAAACATTTTAATGCACTCTTCTATGGTGCTTATAAATGTAATATAAGTATAATAACTGAGCACCTAGGAGACAATGAGCGTACGTTCACAACACTCAGCAAGGAAGTATTATTATTCGTCCCATTTTACACATAGGCACAGAGAGTTTACACAAGAAGTCAGCAGAAGAGTGAGGAAAAGAATCCAGTTCACCTTGTTTCCAGTGAACTAACAACAATACAATCCACCCTCTAGTGTAACTGTGTGCCTTGCTCTGTATGTGTGTGTATGTAGTATGGTGAATCGGGTTCAAATTTTGGTTTAACTTGAAAATAAGTTCTCACTCAGGATAAAAATGTGACTTCCATGAATGGTATACATCATCTTTCCTGCTAAAAATTCTTAGTAGATCTGTCACCATCCCAAAAGACAGATGATGAGGGTGGAGCAGCCCATCCCCAGAAGACAACGGGAGGGCAACCATCTAAAGAGCATAAAGGGGCTGGGCTCTGATTGTTGATAATGAACAAAACTTGATATTTTACTTGTCTGTCAAATACATTATTCACTCTGGATGAGTGAGCTAGTAGAACTTTCCAAGGCTGCAATATATGCGGTCTTTCTAAAAATGCAGGCACTTTACCTTCTGCTGTGAGAAACCAGGAACTGGGTGCTTCTTCAGTCAGCTTCATATTTGCAGGAAGGCTTAACCTTAATAAAAACTGAAGGGTCTGGCCGGGGGTTACAGTCAATGAAGGAAGCTGGATGTTTGGTGCAGATTTAGGCAGTTTGGGGATGTTTGCCGTCTTATTGTTTTGGACAAATGGATGATCTACAACATCAAACATTTCAGTGTTCAGGATAGGCAGCTGTCAAAAGAAACCAAAAGAAATATGAACTAGTATTTCTATCTGAAAGCCTGCTTTATGGTATAAGACTGCAGAGCATCTTGCAATTACAAATTCATATCACCAAAATACACAGCTAGTGGGTGAACAAGGAATTTGTACTGAAATTAAGATTTATACATTTCAATGTATTTACTGTATAGAACTGGAACCCTCTGAACCAGCATACAGAAATTCTGCACCGATGGGAGAGGGAAAGGGAAATGCCAAGAGAAATTTTATTTAAAAAAAAGAAAAGAAAATAATTTACCTTTAAGCAATATCAACACCCACATCTATTTTTTTGTGATTTTTTTTTGTCTTCTCTCACTTAAAATTTGAATGATTTCGTTGCAGATACCAGTTTAATAATAACCCAAGAGTGCTTTCTGTTAGCTTGGAAATAAACTATTCTGAGATAATAAAATTCTTGGTCTTCGACTGTGTAGATTACGCAGTCCAGGACATGATTATCTCATATAGCAGTGGTTCTCAATCTTTCCAGACTACTATACCCCTTTCAGGAGTCTGATTTGCCTTGCGTACCCCAAGTTTCAGCGAACTTAAAAACTACTTGCTTACAAAATGAGACATAAAAATACAGAAGTGTCACAGCACACTATTACTGAAAAATTGCTTATTTTCTCATTTTTACCATATGATTATAAATCAATTGGAATATAAATATTGTACTTGCATTTCAGTGTGATAATTGAGCCTGTTTTTCACTTATAAGCCTTCTCTGAAGTCCAAGCCCCAGGCAATGGGGCTGAAGGAAGTAACTTGGCTTTGTGGAAACCCCTGTGGTGTGGGGTCTTTGGCAACTGCCCTGCTTGCCACTCCCTAATGCCAGCCCTGCACCTGCAATCCCCCTAAATCTCCCTAATCCCCCAGGTTGAGAAACACTGATCTAGATCAGCTGACAAATCCCCTGGTTGAGAACCACTGTCATACAGGAAGCACTGTACAGTTGGTATTTAAATATTAAACACATTAAAAATGTAGAAGTTACCAAATTTATTTAAATACACTACACAGTTCTGAGGAAGACAGTTTAGCCTTTGTGTCGGTGTACCTACATGGCAATAGCTACTCAGCTATATATCATGCCATCATCAGACAGAGAAATGATGTCATCATTCATTCACATCTGTTTTGCCTTATTTGTAATAAGCAAATAAGGTGGAATCCAGTTTTGAAAGGGCACTTAACTTGACCACTTATTTGTGAAGAAATCAGGAACACACAAAACTCTGTATTTGCTCATGCAAGATTAAGGGCCATTGAAAAAAAATAGCTGTCAGTGCTAAACATTGTAGCTGTACTGGATGTGGAAAACATCCAATTTAATAAAACAAACACATATTTATGAGCAATACATGTGTTTATAAGAGAGTGACGGGGTATTTTGCTTCCCCATTGATGGACACATGAAATAAAAACAGCACGCTACCATTCTCAAGGTCTTTGTTGCAAGTGAACTTTGTTGTGCTGTGTTTTGCATTCCTACTCTTCCATATGCCTTTTGCCTTCATTAGAAATCAGAAAGATAGCTGGAGAACTACAGACACTGGCAACTGTACATGCAACAATATCAGCAAGAGGGTCTTACCAGCCCTTTCTTTTGGGACTTGATCTGGTGAGCTGCTCAGCAATCTGAACTCATATTAATTCCAATACGAGTTGTGGTTGTTCAGGGCCCTGATTAGGTGATCAACATCTTGCAGGACTGGGCCAACAGAGACTATTTCTGGAGGGATGAAGTTTCTGTATTCTAACTCTTTCATGCAAGTTTATCAATTTCTTTCTCTATGCATAAGTGTCCTTCCCAAACTCCGAGCAGAGATGGCATATTTATTTTAAGCCTAACAGGATATCCTTAAAGTAGACAGCTTTTCTGTTTGTCCGATTATCACAAAATATTACAGGTATACATTTACTGCACTGAATAAATTCACCAACTATGCTATTTTATTCCGCCCCAAATCACTATGAGCCGATTATGTAGGCTCATATAGTAGGAAAAACCTATAGTAATAATTTACCCTAACAAAATCTTGTGTCAAAAACTTTCAGTAAGTTTTACTTGCCATAGAAACAATTTTTGTTTCTAAGTCCAGCACTTTAATTTGATGATTATTTGTGTCAGCAATATAGAGCAGACGGCCATTCTCTTCAACACATAATCCTCCTGGTTCATTGAAAGTTGACTGCGTAAGGCTGGAACCAACAACATTACTTGCTTCTCCTGTACCTGCCAGTGTAGCACAATTCTTCATTTTGGGATCTACAAACTTAACCTAAGGAAAACAAAATGAAAACTCTGAAAAGTCATCAGAAATATAACAAAATCTTATGGCTAGTGTTTTCAAGAGTCACCAACAATTTTGGGTACCCTAATTATTGAGTGCCCAACTTGACACACCACTTAGCACTTTGAAAATCGAGATACTTTTAGGTGTCTCAGGTTGGACACCTAAAAACTGAGGCACCCAAATTCACTAGTCAGTTTTGAAATTATTGGCCAATTTCCCTTTTTTCCTGAAAATAAAGCTAGAAATATATATGCAGGACATATAAATAGTAAATAAGTTAATTACATTTTTTCTAGAACAGGCTACCTAACCAAAGACTAAAAGTAACCAAACTCATATCAAATTAGTCTTGAGTGAACTAAAAGTATGTCCTAAATGTAGAAAACAACAGAACAGTTTTCTGTTAGCTATGAAGTAGAGTACAGGGCTATAGTTCTACTTCATGGGTCGGCAATGTAAACGATAAGAGAGATGTCTGAGTGGGTTATAAGAAAAGGAGTACTTGTGGCACCTTAGAGACTAACAAATTTATTAGAGCATAAGCTTTCATGAGCTACAGCTCACCTCATCGGATGCATGCAGTGGAAAATAAAGTGGGGAGATTTTATATACACTGAGAACATGAAATAATGGGTGTTACCATACAGACTGTAACAAGAGTGACCAGGAAAGGAGAGCTATTACCAGCAGGAGAGCGCGCGCGGGAGGGACGGGGGGGAGACGGATGGACGGGACAACCTTTTGTAGTGATAATCAAGGTGGGCCATTTCCAGCAGTTGACAAGAACAGCAGAAGGGGAAATAAACAAGGGGAAGTAGTTTTACTTTGTGTAATGACCCATCCACTCCCAGTCTTTATTCAAGCCTAAGTTAATTGTATCCAGTTTGCAAATTAATTCCAATTCAGCAGTCTCTCGTTGGAGTCTGTTTTTGAAGTTTTTTTCTTGAAGAATTGCCACTTTTAGGTCTGTAATTGAGTGACCAAAGTGATTGTAGTGTTCTCCGACTGGTTTTTGAATGTTATTATTCTTGACGTCTGATTTGTGTCCATTTATTCTTTTACGTAGAGACTGTCCAGTTTTGGCCAATGTACATGGAAGAGGGGCATTGCTGGCACATGATGGCATACATCACATTGGTAGATGTGCAGGTGAACGAGCCTCTGATAGTGTGGCTGATGTGATTAGGCCCTAGGATGGTGTCCCCTGAATAGATATGTGGACACAGTTGGCAACGGGCTTTGTTGCAAGGATAGGTTCCTGGGTTAGTGTTTTTGTTGTGTGGTGTGTGGTTGCTGGTGAGTATTTGCTTCAGGTTGGGGGGCTGTCTGTAAGCAAGGACTGACCTGTCTCCCAAGATCTGTGAGAGTGATGGGTCATCCTTCAGGATAGGTTGTAGATCCTTGATGATGCGTTGGAGAGGTTTAAGTTGGGGGCTGAAGGTGATGGCTAGTGGCGTTCTGTTATTTTCTTTGTTGGGCCTGTCCTGTAGTAGGTAACTTCTGGGTACTCTCTGGCTCTGTTAATCTGTTTCTTCACTTCAGGGCAGGTGGGTATTGTAGTTGTAAGAACGGTTGATAGATATCTTGTAGGTGTTTGTCTCTGTCTGAGGGGCTGGAGCAAATGCGGTTGTATCGTAAAGCTTGGCTGTAGACAATGGATCGTGTGGTGTGGTCTGGATGAAAGCTGGAGGCATGTAGGTAAGTATAGCGGTCAGTAGGTTTCCGGTATAGGGTGGTGTTTATGTGACCATCGCTTATTAGCACCGTAGTGTCCAGGAAGTGGATCTCTTGTGTGGTCTGGTCCAGGCTGAGGTTGATGGTGGGATGGAAATTGTTGAAATCATGGTGGAATTCCTTGGATGGAATTCCATCCAACCAGCATCTAACACGGCTGCTACTCTGAAACCTGAGTGGGTTATGTAATCACCACAATCCAAGGATGGAAGTACTGCCTCATAATTAAAAATCTGGTGGGTATTTATATTGTTTTTAATACATATCCCAACTGCTTCTTTCTTTTGTTGACTTCCCATGCTTCCCTGCTGGACAACTTTCCTTCTTTTGGTCTTTATTCAGTGCTCTCTCTCATCAGGTATTTCTAAGCCATCTATCAATGTGGTATCTACAGCTGTATGTTGCTGAATGGCATGTTTCCTGTAACATATAAAAAATGAAGCCTGCCAACTTGCTTTGCTCCTGGCTCTTGAACAGTTTTTAAAAGAATAAATAAAATTTTCTTTGAAAGTGTTGCAGAAAAATATATACCAAATATTTACTTTTCTATTTGTTTAAGAAAAGAGTCTTTTATTTAAATATCTACCACTGCAAATTGGAGAATTATTGAGTAACATTAGATACTTAACTCTTCAGCTTAAGTGAAAAAACAAACAAAAAACCCATATAATTTCGGGAATAATTTATTACTATCCAGGTGATTATTTTATTACTAAGAATAAATAATCTTAACATGCTTAAGCAAACTCAGGATTAAAGGCACATCAAGAAAATAATTTACAAGATTCAGCATTTTTTTGCTAACTTGAGTAACATTTTGCTATTCTTAAATTGTCATTTTTTAATTTAAGGGTACAGCTGTTCATGCTGAACAACTGTATGCGGTGTTATTGTAGCCATTTTGGTCCCTGTATATTAGAGAGACAAGGTGGGTGAGGCAACATCTTTCGTTGGACCAACTTCTGTTGGTGTGTAAGCTTGAAAGCTGCTCTCTCTCACCAACAGTTTGGTCCAATATTACCTCTCAACTGGTCTTTCATGCAAAACAATGTAATTATTAAAAATTATAACCACAGACAAAGATTTTTTGATAAAAGTTTTCTGCTCTTGTATGTGAAGAAATAATTTTCTAATGTAATAAGAATTTTTAATGAGAATTGGATAATTTAATGAAAACTTTTTCCAAAATATAATCCGATGCAGCTCTTAAAAAAATCTAAGCCTTCTTCCAAAGACAATTCCTTTGTTTTATGTATCAAATGCTATAGCTTCAAAATTCTTCTAACAAGCATTCAATCACTTTAAATCTAAACATGAAGGCATTTTATACACTAGATGAAATCCTTGCCCTAGTGAAGTCAATGGCAAAACATTCACTGACTTCACTAAGACCAGGATTTCACCCTCTATTCATAGAGTCTAACCCTTCTTGAAAGAGATTTAGGGTTAGCCTATAGTAGAAAAGGTTTGCTGGTATAGCTATGCTGGCAATCCATCGTAGTATAGACACAGTTTATAGCATAAAAAGGTGCTCTTGACAATACAGTTTATAATGATTCCCTGAGCAAAAAAAGCTATACAGACAAAAGCTCTTTTATGCCAGTAAAACTCTGCCTACACTAGGATTTTGCCCGTATAGAAAAGTCAGTGTGGGGGTGGGGGAAGAGGTGGAGAATCACATCGCTAACCAACACAAAGTTGTGTAGACCTGGCCAGGGTAAATAATTAGCTTATGTACTCAATTAAAACAAATCAATGAGGAATTATAACACTCACAAAAATAGGGATATAAAACATCTACACGTCACAATCTTTATCTCACCTCATGACTGGCCCATTGATGAGCCAATGAGCATAACCACCAACCCTTCTATCTCTCAGAGATATAGGAGGCTAAACGGATGAGGGGCATATCCTCTTTCCAAATTGCTCAAAGCTGAAAAGACCTCTGGTGGCTGTGACCAAGCATTCTGAATTACTCTGCTCTTGTTTTGCATCTTTTTGTGTTAATAAAACCAGCCCTGAGGAAAGGGCCTTGGACTGAACTGTTGTTTGGAGCTTTATTTTAGCTTCCCCAGCAAGTGTATCTGCCCATCAGTACACAAATCTAGACACCCAGTAAACCAGGTGACCAGATAAAAGTCCAAGATCAAAAACAAGAAAAAAAAAAAAGTATGTCATTTACTTCCTTATAATACAATTTTATGTTACTGAACCATAGAGACATGCTTTTCTGATGCTACCTGACTCTGATGCTGGTGGTGAAATGAGTTACATAAATACTGTTTTGCATAATATATTATACCGACTTACCTTATGATTATAGGAATCTGCTACATAAAGCAGTTTCCTTTTCTTGTCCCAAGTTACTCCAAGGGGGTGCTGCAGCTTTGCATTTATTCCTGCTTCATCTACATCACCAAAGGCAAACAAATTCTAAAGGAGTGAATTAATTAAATTTGTACAATTAGTTGGTTATGCAATGTTGACATAAGGCAGTAGACAGTGCAAATCACCGTAATTAAATGGAAATTAACTGGCTAATTTTTAAAAAATGCACTCATGGGAAATGAAGCACTCAGGGGACTGGATATGGGTGTGGAGCCTTTGCATTCTAGGCCACCAATCCAGCCCATTTCAATAGCAATCAAAAGTCACTGCCATACATGGTTATTCAGTGGATTTTGTGAATGAGTTGGTCAGTCCAGTTCTTGTTGACCAACAATCTGCATTACAAAACTTGTGCTTAGACACTAAACAGTGAAATTAAGAAATGAATGAGCCTGGAGACAGAACTACCCTCTTGCCCCTAAAAGTGGTTCCTCCAGATCAGGCTTGAGGAATATTGGTAGGGTGACGCTGGGAAGACCGAAGTTGTGTGTTAGTCTATTACCAATGGATCTCTCTCTCCTCCTACAAGATGTTTCACTGCTCCATCTTTCAGTGAGATTGTTCGCACAGTGCTGCTCTCACTGTCTGCTACAAAAATACAGTTCCAGGGTTCTTCAGAAGCCAGAGAAAGACCTGAAGGCTGGGCAAAGGCTGCCTTATGGGGGTATGCATTGTTTCGGTTCTCTTCATTCCCACTCCCAGCAAATCGAAGGCAGGTTCCTTTCTTTAAATCACTGAAGAAAAAACAAGTGCCCAGGTTCAAAGACAAGTCTGAAATAGTTCTTTCAGAATTCTTATATAGTTTCTGTTTGGTAAATATAAGTTACCAAAATAATGGTATTTGAACTGCTTTTATTTTAATTTGTATTTCACCTTGGTTTATAATTAATACTTAAATGATTTAGCATAATGCAAAGTAAAACAATATTTAATTAAATGTATGTATAAGTGTTTTCCAAGAGGATAAGTCTCCTTGAAGTTTAAAGGCTCTTGCTCATCAAAAGCTAAACAGCTGTTTCTAATATCTATCATTATAGTGGCGTACCTTCCTTTTGGGAGTTTTCCGCATTCCAACATGAGAGCCCAGACTTGGTGAGTACCTGCCATGGCTATCCATAGAACATCATCTTCATGGGTCCCTGAAACTTTACCAAATATGAGTATAAATATCGTAGAATGGACCTCGGGCAACATTTGCAAAAAGGAATTACCTCGGTCATGAAAAAAAAGTGAATTACTTTCAATTACTTAGCCATTATTCTTCTGTAGCTTTACTAGGGGAGAAAAAGTTGTACCTTTTAATCTTTGTTGAAGATACCACCTCTACTAGGAAATGCAGTCAGCAGTCATTCTGATAGTGGATATACATTTTACTCAGTGTCCCAACAATAATATTGAATAACGATATCTACAGCACAGGCCCAACAAAGAAAACAACAGAACACCACTAGCTATCACCTTCAGCCCCCAACTAAAACCTCTCCAATGCATCATCAAGGATTTACAAGCTATCCTGAAGGATGACCCATCACTCTCACAAATCTTGGGAGACAGGCCAGTCCTTTCTTACAGACAGCCCCCCAACCTGAAGCAAATACTCACCAGCAACCACACTCAGATTACCATTGTACATGTCCTAAGTGAACTAAATATTTAAGTGAGCATCTGAACAACAACTGGGACAACACCATAAAGAATTATATGAACGAGAAAAAAAGCAAGGTTAAAAAAAATTAGTTGTTGAAGTCATGGATTTCAGATGTATTCTTGCAACAAGATAGAGAGTGGTGATTACAAGATTACAGGATGATGTTTGGGAATGATGAGTATGCAAAGATGCTCTACCAAAATCAGAATGTGGGGTAGGATTTTTAAAAGCACTCAGGATTTCAAAAGCTCCCATAGATTTCAGTGACAGCAGTTAGGCCAACACTGACAGCTTATGAAAATCCAACCTAGAAAGACTAATTCTAATATTGTTCAAATACAGGCATTTCTATTCAATGAAAATTAAACATTGAAAGATGGTGTAAAGATAATAAAATCTAAATATTCTTTTCAAATTACGTGCCTGTAGAACCCACTAAATGTGTTGCTGAGAAACCAAGTATCAGTATTTATTTTAAGTTTTATTAAATATATGAAATATTGGTATAGAGAAATGTCCCTCTCCCCAAAGAATGGAGACAGAAGAACTGTGAAAAATACTCAACAACTGTAGTCATGCAAGTCAAGTAGTTCTTTCTAAGACAACTATTAGATCAACAACAACAACAAAAAAGAAACAGATATGGCAACAGACCAAATGTTTGGATTATGAGAAACAAGAAAAGATCTCTAATCTCAAAATTATCACAGAAAAGCAAAACTATTAACATCTGTCATAGCATATCCGTGGGTATTTTTAAAAGTAAGTCACTTAGTTTGTTATACAGTACTCTGATGATAGACATATTACAAAAGTTTATTCTTCTTACATGAATGACAGAAAGTGCTCTACTTTGAAGCAGCAGCAATTTAGAAAAAAAACAGCAAAACCAGGAGAATACATAGAAAGAAGACACCGACAAAAGCAGGGAGGAAACCAAATGCTGAACTAGACTTTACTCTCACTGCAGTTAATGTGATAATACCAAGTACTCCTTATAATCCTTGTATGGTGAGGATTTATTTATTTTCAAAGGCTTTATTATAAAATAATTATCCAATAAAAAGAACAAAGTAATTCTTTTACGTTTACACAATTAAATACTACATTCCAATCTATCTTGGAAGGTTTTTTTAAATCCAATGTAGTTTCTCCTTATTTGGGAATACATAGTTTTATCTCTAGTGCTGCTTGCAGTATCAAAGCAGAAGTTTTTCTTGTTAATATGATATAGTTGCATTATAAAGATTCACTCACAAATTATAGCTTTTGATGCATTATTTCATGTGACAGCATTTGTTTTGCAAAATAAGAAAATTATACCGACATCGTTTCAAATTGCACTTTTCCCCAAGCAGATCTCCACTTTACTTCTGGAGTTTCTGGGATCCCCTATTTTCCTCTCTTCTATATCCTTACTGTTAAGGGTCTATGGCCCTGATCTTGCAAACATTCATGAACATATTTAATAGTAGCACATGCTTAAGGTTGACTAAATCACAAAGTAAAGTTAAACACATGCATAAGTGATTGCTGGATTGGGGCCTGTGCCATAACCACAATTTTTTCAGCAAGGAGGACTGGAAAGGATTTACTTTATAACTAGTCAGTAACAATCTCTGTCAAAGGATCACATTCCCAGGATTACAGCAAATTTCCAGCCTCCACTGTCCTGGGACTGCATGCCTACTTCCAGTCTGGAGATAAAGAGGCTGGGAATCAAAGCCATGTCTCTTGGACGGCAGCACTAACGTTTCCTAACTAGACTGAAGATTGCAAATATTTTTCCCAGCTACTAATTTTATCTTTTTTTGAAAAAAATAGGGGAGAAATCTGTTAGTACACACATCCCTTGCCAACATATAAGAGGCAAGAAAGAATAACTTTCATGCAGCAGACCACACTCATGTTTAAGTATATGTAGATAGGCAAAATGGGTGAAATCATGGCCCCACTGAAGTCACAGGGAGTTTGGCAGTTAACTTCAATAGGGCCAGGATTTCACCCAATACCTACAAATTAGTGGATTATCTCACTGAAGAAAAAAAAACAGTCCTTAGATCATTCCCTCAGCCTGATTCAAATCCAGAGAGAGTAAATCCAAGAAAGATGGCCATAGCTTGAGTCTGTACCATTACGAGTAGGTGGGGATTTTGTCCTTTTTGATTTTTTCTTCCCAGTATTTTAGGGAGTTAAAATTCCTGTGCTTTTTTTGCATTATAAAACAGCAAAATCACATACATACTGTTTTATCAGGCAAAAAACATGTGTGTGTGTGAAACAGCACAGTTCTTGGAGTTTTCTTTGTAAGTTAACTGCAGTTGCAGAAAGAGCACACAGCCTTGCTGCATGTGCAAAATACAATTCCTTTTCTTAAATTTCATGGCAAAGTATGTTTACACATCTCCACAGGTGCACAGGGCCCGCTGGAGGAAAAAAATTAAGACAAATCCTTGACTTGATGAACTTTCAATCAAAGTTAGACATAAAACAGCAAGGAATGTCAAACAAAGGCTGCAGAAGAGACCAGAGAGGATGAAGATTACAACAAGAACAAATAATGCAATAATATTTCAACCAAATCTTTACCAGCATATCCAAAGTGTATTAAAAAACAAAACAGAAACCTAACCCTGCTTCCTAAAATAGAAAGCTAACACTGCTTCCTAAAACATGGAAAAGGTAAAGAGCAGAATCCTTGATAAAGCCCACTATGAACATCAATAGGCAGATCTAGATTAACACTTCAGTGCTCTGATATTTACAGTGATGGGTACTATAGAAAAATCAAAGATAGACAGCTAAGCATGCTTACATATCTTGTTTTGATAATATATTAAAATATATTAAAAGTATTGAGCAGCAATAATGGTAATTTTCCCCTTAAACTAGATAACATTCCAAAGAACTTTTAACATTGAATTAGAACAACAGAAGACAACTTAAAAATCTCTTTAGGAGTTGTCAAGCATGTTTATTTTTGGCAGCTATGCATCTGGCATTCACAGTACAGAAAAAAATTCAGAACTTCAAACAGTGCTTAGGAATCTAATTCACAATACATTTATTAATGCCCACTGTTTAGGTTTTTTAATCACAGTCTTAATATGATTAACAGAACAAAGTTACTGACTGTGGAAAACAGAACATGCAATCACCATTGCATGTAGAAATATCATAATATTTTACAAAGTACATTGTAAATTTGCAGATTGGGAAATACCAAATTTGCCTTCTGTTACGTTGACAACTTTGCTAGAACCAACGTTTCATTTTACTATCAGAAAGGATCATAATCATCTGCTTTCTCAAAATTCAGAGAAGTCTAAATTATTAGACATTACAGCTGTCAAATTAAGTTTTATAAGTTCACCTTTACAGTTCATTACACTCTATGGAATGAAGTGTTTCCTTGTTATTTCTGTTCAAAAGATCTTTTTCTAGTAAAAGGCAGTTTTTGTAATATTAAAAACACCCATTTTTTTCTTGTAACATATTTCTATTATGTACATTTAAATTATTAATGGAATATAAGGCATTTTAATAATCCCTTAAACACCAATCTTATCCCCTAAACACCACTCTTTTGGCTTGATAAAGGACAGTAAATAGAAGTCAATAGCTTAAATTGATTGCTGTGTAGTTGTACGAAGTATGCCAGAGTAGCTGACTACTTGACCACACAAAACTATATCAACTCTGTGCCAAGTCTCTCCCCGATTAGTTTCCCTTCAGAAGCCTAAATGGAAAAACACTACCAATTTAGGAATTATTACACTTGCCGGATAGGGGTGGAGAACCCAGGATACAACTTGTTTAGGACATGTGAAAGTTCCCATTATATCTATTTATTCTTTCCTTCTGTGAGTTTTGTAAGCAAGACTGAAGACAGCTGTTCCATACATTCAGATAATATGTACAAGGAAATCACACACTATGAAATCTTTCCAAAACAGTGAAAAATTTCCTGGCTACTCCACTTGTGCATGGCATGACGTTTTGCTGTGACTTTTTTATATCACATTTCTCAAAAGACCTTTTCTCTTTAAGTACTTTTGATATGGGAAATAAAATCCCAGTGTCACCTTCCACTCATTTGTCGAGCCCTGTCCTCACTACTGAGCAATTTTTAATTTTGTTCTCCAAATATTTGAAAGAAAGACCCTTAAGTTTTCCTTTACAAATACGTATCTGGGTATTTTGGGATCTCATTCACAAATACATCTGTAGCCCCTACTGTTACATTCCAATTATATTTCTATTACAAGATCTTCTGTAAATTAAAATACACATTGTGTAATGAGGTCACGAGAAATGTGCGTTTAGAGAGCCTAAAATAGTCAAACTCTGTGATAACAAAGAGCCAAATTTCAAAGCTTTTTCTGTGCCTTAATGGTCTGAGAAATCAAAGAGCACCTGTTAAATGGTATTCAGTTGTTATCAACTTGTGGAATTATGGGTGAATCATCAGGAATAATTCAGAAAAATTATAGTATG